TTTTAGATTCAGACTGCAAAAAAAAAAAATGTGCTGCTCTCCCTTCTCCCATATCAACACTGCACCATCCCTGCTCCCCTCCCACATCGTCACTGCACCATCCTTGCTCCCTCCCATATCGTCACAGCACCATCCCTGCTTCCCTCCCACATCGTCATTGCACCATCCCTGCTCCCTCCCATATCGTCACAGCACCATCCCTGCTCCCCTCCCACATCGTCATTGCACCATCCCTGCTCCCTCCCATATCGTCACAGCACCATCCCTGCTTCCCTCCCACATCGTCATTGCACCATCCCTGCTCCCCTCCCACATCGTCACAGCACCATCTCTGCTCTCCTCCCTTATCGTCACCGCACCATCACTGCTCCTTTCTCACATCACCACTGCACCATCTCTGCTCTCCTCCCATATCACCACCGCACCATCCCTGTTCCCTTCCCATATCATCAGTGCACCATCCTTGCTCCCTTCCCATATCACCTCTGTTCCATCCCTGCTCCTTCTCATATCATCGTTGCACCGTCCCTGCTCCTTCTTATATCACCACTGCACCATCCCTACTCCTTCCCATATCGTCACTGCAATATCCCTACTTCCTCCATATCACCTTTGTTCTATCCCTACTCCTCTCCCATGTCACCACTGCACCATCCCTGCTCCCCTCCCATATCACCACTGCACCATTCCTGCTCCACTCCCACCCCTTAACCGCCTTAGAACAGCCCACTGCTCGTAACATGCATGTACAACAAGTGTTTTTGAAAAAATTAGTGACAATAATTTCTCATAGCTGTTGATGATTTGAACGTTTTATCCTTTCGAAATACCATACCCTATTCTGTCAAATGTCTGTATCAAAAAAAGGCTGCCGTAGAACAGGTGCGCCGACATAAAGATCCTGTTGGCGGCAGATACTCGTGAAGATATTTTCAGAGAGTATTCTGTAGGATTTTCAGTTAAAACTTTCACAGAACATTGAGTTTGTTCTGTGCATTTTTACGATCAATAGGCTGCAACAAAAATTGTTCTGCCCCCTTTTCTCGTTGCGTGAAGGACGGAAGAAACCGGGAGAAATGCATATGCAATCAAGAGTGTCCTAAGATATTAAAACAAGTTTGCGGTTCAGATTTCGTGACGTATGGCAACGAGTGTCTGCTGAAGAAAACAGCCTGTGTAGAGGAAAAAGAACTAACTGTGTTGAAAAAGGGAGCGTGTGCAGGTATTTCTTTTTAAAGAAGTATGCAATTAAATCATTTAGCGCGCTAGATCAAAATCATCAGAAACACTTCCCGAGCAAATTTGAACGGTGACCTGGCTTATAACTGATTCTACTTAATTTTCGTGTAATCCATAAAAAACACATGTTGTCAGTTTCATATGAAAATGCCTTTTCACATCACACGAAAAAAACGTACATGTTGTCTTCTCTTGATTCGGTAGGCAACTTGAAGATTCAAAATCTCACCCATCACGAGAATCTTTTTAATTTATTCATTCCCTTCGAACCCATGCCTTTATGTGGTAGTCAAAACATCTGATGTCTCTAGTTTTTGCCTTTCGCACCTAGGCGCCTCAACAGTTTGTGAAAACGGACCCTGTCCACCGTTTGCAACCTGTGTTGAATCAGACAATGGAAACAGATGTGCATGCCCTTGGTGTTCTCATAACCGCACCCGAAAAATTTGTGGATCGGATTGGAGAACCTACAAAAATTTTTGTGAACTCAAGAGGTATGCCTGCGAGAATAACAAGCACATCTCAGTCGTCTCACGTGGTGAATGTGAAGGTAGGTAATTTTGATGTCGTCATCCCAAAGGTCAATCAGAAGAGAGAGAAATAACTTGAAGAACCATTGAGCTCAAAATAAAACCAACCAAACTGCCAAAAGCGCAGGAAAAAGCAAAAAGGAAAACCAAAGCAATCCTGGATTATTCGCGACACTCAAATGAAAATTTTTCAATTATTCTAACGCATAACTTTCTCACTCTCAGTTTCTGACAAATTGTATTCCCAATCGTTTTTGTCATTTTCCAGTCCATTTGAGCAATGTTTGAGTTATCTAACTGTACTATTTTGGGAAAGGAATGAATTTCCTGATGTCACTGTCATGTTTTTTCTTCCTTCAGTATCATTCTTTGAGGCTAATCCTGAGGAAAAACCCGCTAAACAAGAGAAGTCGTCTGGTTTTATGAAGAAAATTTACATCTCCGGAATAGCTGTTTTGATCCTGGGAGTGGTAATCGCCATTGCTATGTGCGCGAGTCAACCAAAGAATAGGTGAAGATATTTTTAACAAATCGATGTTTCTGTTAGAAAGCCCGAAAATTTGGATTTCTGAAATGAATCAAAGGGGTCCCTAACCCTGTGGTTGTGCAATGTTTTCAAAGACAAGTATGCTTTAAAAACTGTACAACTGTTGTCTTCACCAACAAAGAGTATGTTTAAAAATGCCTTCTCAGCCCATGTTGAGATTCCTAAGAGTAGCCTACTGGTAAAGAATATCATCAAATATGTCTAAAATTCCATTTTAAAACGTCGCCATTTTGAAAATAAATCATGAAACTGCAAGAGTGGGGTGAGAAATGTTTTTTGGCGAAAAGTGGCTTTATGTGTAGCGGTTCCAGAACGTTCCTAATTATTCATTATTGGCCAAGGCCCATTACAATGAGCTCCCAGCAAGGCTCTGTAATTCAGAACTTCTCACCTGTAACAGCTAAGTTGACCCTCTGTGGTTTACTGACCTAATTGAATCCATTGTTGAAAACTTTTTCTAGAAGAATACAGCGGAACAAGAGCTCATTCAAAAAACGTCATCCTAAATACCAGAACGAGAAGCCTACCACTAAAGAAAACTTGTAAGCGAAACACGACTATTACTGACGGATTACGTCTTCCAATTATTGTAATGCTCATGGAAAACTATTTTTTGCTTAATGTACTTATTACGGAAAATTTTTATCAATTTTCGTACTGTTCATGGAATACTTTATCACTCATTGAAGTACTTGTGGAATACTTATGTCCGTTTTTTCATTACTTACGAAACACTTTTATCAGTTATTTTACTGTTCGCAGAGGATTATATTCCTTATATTATTTATATCACCCATTATATCACTCATTGACTACTTACGGAACACTTCGGAACACTTTGGTACGCTATTGTGCTACTAATGGGGTACTGTTAACTGTAATTTTCTTAACAGCGGAAAACTTTTGTCAGTCATTATACAACTTACGGCCAGGAAATTTATACCAATTGTTTTACTTTCTTGTTATGTCATGCCAATGTAATCTGTTTAAAACTAAGATAAACTGATCAAATAAAACCAGCCTTTAATCTCCTGTCGTTGCCGTGATTTAGACCTACATATGACATCAACCATGACCATAACTCTTCCAGACTCCTTCGAAAACTTCATGCCCAAAAACTCTAACTCTCGCTTCGCTGTATGCGTCTAGTTTCGTTTTAAACTCCACCTTCCCCCTCCCCCTCCTCCAACCAAAGCTGAATGCGGTTGTTGTGTTTAGAGAAGTAGCAGTACACATTGCAGGGGAGTTGGGGGAGGGGCCAAAATATCGTATTTCTTCACGTGTGTTGATATAGCCAATCAGCTGCTGACACGTCACTCACCTTTAGCGCCACTCGGTCGAGTTGATGAATGAATGGCAAAGCGTTGACGATTCTCAATACAAGTTGTTTGTCGAAGCTTTCTCGAATTACGGCAGCTAAAACACTAAAAAATCCGTATCGCTGACAGACAGTGAGGTTCAACCTTTCCTAGAAGGCGAAGAAAACCAATATACTAGAAGAAAAACCGAAAGTTAGCTATTCAGTGGCTTTGGTGTTAGCATTTCTCTCGGTTGAGAATGAAAATCGACAACTGGAAGATTTTCCACGAGCTGATTTTGGCCGTTTACTCGGAAGACTTTTTAATCAGAAGACTTCTTCTGTCGGTAAGGACAAAGTCAATAAATGAGAATTTTGTAAATTGAAAATTACGACTATTGTTGTTTTTGTAGTCGTGATTCAACGCATTTTTTCATCTTGGGAGTTAGCGCCAACGCACTCTACGATTGTTATTCAGGGATTGTCGATTCATTTATATTCATTCAAAAATGAAGTCGGCTTTTCTTCTCAGTAAAGGGCTATTGTGTTTCTATGATAAACAAAATAACACATGGTTGCTTGTATATATGGAATTTCTCTTCTCGTGTTCAACTCGACATCTCACTCGTTCGCTGCGCTCACTCGTGAGCTGTCGAGTTAAACGTTCGAAGAGAAATTCCATATCTACGCGCGCCCATGTATTATTCTCTATATCTTATTATAATAAAGTTCGGATATAACGCGCGCTGTCATTGGTTGAAAGAGCGTGCTCTATGAGAGTTTATATAATAAGCTCAGCTATGCACGCATTCTGATTGGTTCTCACTTATGATCTATTGGAGGACAGACGTTTAGATGACGTCATCATTAAAACTTTTTTTAGTTTTTTATTATATGAAACAAATAGATTCTAAGATGCCGTACGTCTGTTCAGTAATAGATCACAAAGGACGTCAAAATGTGGTAAGAACATCAGTGACACAATCGGCTGCGCCTCGTGTGCCACTTTTTTGTTCTTACCACATTTTGACGTCACCTGTGATCTATTACTGAACAGACGCACGGCAACTTGGAATCTATTTGTTAAATAGAGCACAGTCAAGGCTTCTCTATTTGTTAATAAAAAGCTCATACTAGTAAGGGCATCGTACTGACGTGCTATAGTTTTTGCTGTACCGAATATTCAGATTGTGGAACCAGGTAACGTCAATGAATGGTTATTTTTGCCGTTTTTATGGTTTTTAGAGGAAAAGGATATAGCCATTTTCGCTTTTTAAAATTTGACAATGTTTGGAAAAAAACTTCCTTGTTAAATCCAATCCTTTTTTTCAAGTTCAGTCCATTCCTGATTTTCATCTGATTCCACCCGACTTATCATAGGAAGACAACAATGGCCCAGAGCAATCGCGAGACTCAAGTTCTCGACGAAGTATTTCGAAAGGAGTTGATCGAGAAGTTAGACGAGCTCAGGAAATCGAATCTTCTATGTGACACAACTCTCCGAGCTGATGGACAAGAATTTGCTGCCCATCGCAGTGTCTTGTCTGTCGGCAGTCAGTATTTCCGGACTTTGTTTGCAATGCAGTTAAACGTTCAAGAAACCGAAAAAAAATTCGTAGATCTCAAAGAAGTAACCTGTCAAGCCTTGACGGAGGTGCTTCAGTATGTCTACACCGGAAAAGCAAAACTCAACTCATCTAACGCAGAAGAAATCGTCGTTGCTTCCGATTACTTGATGGTTGAAGGGTTGAAATCGAAGGCTTCTCTTTTCTTGGAAGAATCCTTAAGTAATGCGAATTGTTTGGCGTTAGAATCCTTCGCTTCTCAATATAACTGTGAGTCGTTAAAACAAGCTGCCGCTACTTTTATCCGTAAAAATTTCGTGGCCGTGGCAAAGTCGAGTGATTTTTTGTCCCTTAATGAAGAAAAACTGTTAGAATTGCTCAGCGACGATGAAATAATCGTACCGCGTGAAGAGGAAGTGTACCATGCAGCAGTCAGATGGGTCAAATACGATTTAGCCTCAAGAGAAAATTATTTTCCTGAACTGTTGAAATGTCTTCGGCTGTTCTCGATGTCGAAGTTTTCTCTGCGTCAAATTCTTTGCGAGGAAGAATTGGTTAAAAATAACGTTGCCTGTATGACATTATTACTGAATGGACTGGACTACTTTCTGTTCCCGGATCGTTACCAGAACGTTTCACTCATACCTCGTTTGTCACTAAGGGAATATGAGGATGTGGTAGTACTCATTGGAGGCAAGAATATAAAGAACGAGGAATTAAGAAGCCTTCGCTGTTTTGTACTTTCCTCTAAGAATTGGATTTCATTACCTGATATGCCTCAATCTTGCAGTAATCATTGTGCTGGTGTATGTGGTGGAATCTTGTTTGTCATACCTCCAGGATACCAAAGTCTTTTGACACGTAAGTGTGTGTATTCTTTGAACCCCAAACGAAGCACATCATGGAACTCCACTGAATATGGAATACTTGTTGGTCACGACTGTTCAGTGACAGCTTACAATGAACAACTTTATATCGTGGGGGGCAGCAGTGATGACTCTAAAGGAGTGAAAGTCTTCAATCCAGCCCTTGGTACATGGAAAAGGATGGCACCAATGAATATTGGGCGTGCTGGACATTGTGCTGTTCTCCTACAGAAGCATATTTATGCCATTGGAGGTCACAATAATGAAAGTTGCCAGAAGAGTGTGGAGCGTTACAATCCAGTAACAAACCAGTGGCAAACGATTCGAGATATATCCAATGCCCGCACGTTTGCTGCAGCGGCTGTATCAAATGGGAAGATCATTGTTGTTGGTGGGTTCAGTGCCATGAAACCCTCAAAAGTCATGGAAGTCTCCTGTGAAATGTTTGACCCATGTACAAATGAATGGAGTCTGGTCTCAAGTCCTGCTATTTCACGTGCTGCTTGTGGAATTGTGAGTATAGATGACATTATTTACTTGTTTGGAGGTCAACATGAAGAATGTTGCATGGAAACTGTAGAGTCTTTTGATTTGAAACAGAACGAGTGGCGAGCTGTAGCTTTTATGCCAACTGAGCATCAACGCTCTTTCCATCAAGCTTCAGTACTAAGACTTCCTAAACATATTGTTTCTTAGAAATAGAAAATTGTACTGGTTTCTCAAGGAATGTCATAGTGTTGATGACCAAGGGTGAGGTCAAGATGGCTTAATATATCAGCCTAATTCTTCGACTCGTTTTCGAAATTATGAATTCAAAACAACACTCCTTCGAAATAAGAAAATAACGACTGTTTTCAATTTAGACTGTGTAGTTTGAATTTTAAATCTTGAATTATTGTAAAGTTTTAAACTAAATAATACCAACTGATGAAAACTGAACCTTAGACCATATAAAATAAAAATATCTGATTTGTTACCCTCCCTTCTCATATCCCAAGACTTCAGACTACACATGTAAGTCAGTTATGAGAATATGGCTATTATTGTTTTAAACATACTCTGGATGATAAGTTCATCAGCTATTGTACTATTGCAGGATAATATATTGATATTGTTTGGAAAAGTTATATTTTACTCATCATGCAGCAAGAGTTTTATCTGAAGCCAGACAAAAAAATAATAGTAATAATTAGCATATTTGTGAAAATGGATTGTGTTCATTTCCAAAATAAGTTCAGTTGGTTACAGGTTGATGCAGGCTTCCTTTTAGAACTATTTTGTTACAAAGGCCTTTGCTAATCTCATATTTTGTACTGCAGTAGACCCTGTCATTTTGTGGTGTATATTGATTTCCATAGCAATAGAGCTACACGTATATCGTATTGTCAATTTGATTTAGTTGTACTGTATAACAGTTGGTTAGTTGATATAACTTCTGATTGAAACAAAAACTATACTAGTATGTACTGATTTAAACACTAAATATCATGTACTTTTGAACACGTTACTATCCAAATATCCAATGAAAAGGAGTATAGACTATAAGATATGTGAGTCCAACATCAATTATTTTTCTAGATCATCTTTTTTTTTACAATGAGCCCTGTAAACAATACCCTACCATTGGGTACTTCTATCTTTTTTTCTTAATCTTACCAACAACATATTATTTTTTGCCCAAAATAGACTCCTACAAGATGAATTCATGGCCTCTAGTTCTTCATAATATGGTCACATGTTAAGCTGGAGCTACTATTCTTGGAGTTAATATACTGTTCAAAACTGATTGGTAGTTTATATATTGGCCGAGAGTTCTATCACAGATGCTACAACCTGATTGGTCATTGTACTACCTGTCTGTTCACTGAAAGATAGTGGGATAAATGAGAAGCCTAGATAAGTTGCTAAAATTTCTATGCATGACAGCTGTTTTAAACTTTTCCCTTATCAGCCATCAAGGAATAGAAATCTCAAGCTAACAAACTAATTGTTCATTAATTTTTTCTTTGTTTATCAAAGAAGCTATAGACTAGCTGACAGCCAATCAGCAGACTAACAGCTATATAAAATTTGGATTTGATATAAATTTTATGATTGTCGCCTCTACTAACATTTTACAAAGTGAAACTTAGGTCCATCACAATACAAGGTGCTAAGAAGTGCTTGTTTATAAGCTGAACTGACTAGGCTCCACAAGGCATGCTAGCTGTGTGTCTTCCACCATGGAGGGTGCATCTGAAAAAACCAAAACAAACAAATACTGGATCAAAAGCAGATAGAACTTGCAACTATAAAGAACAATAAAATAGCCTGCCTAGCAATCTTTTTCAATTCCTTTTGGTCACTTGAGAAAAGCTTGAGTCTCAGGAAGGCGTGGGGCAAGAGAAGGCAAAAAAATGAATGAAAAAATTAACTAAAATAGATAATTAGCATCTGTTCCTAATCTTGATTTTTTGCTTCCTATTGCACAATGCCTTCACAAGACTCTTGCATCTCCCACTACAGTAGTAGACTAAGTTAGCGATGAACTAACACTTGAAGTGATTTCTAAGTTCACCAAGAATGAATACTCATCTCCAAGTACTTAGCTACTACCATTGACATCTGGACTAACTGGCTTGCCATGTGGCTGCTCATTAGCTGTCTAACACAAGACTGATAAAGAACCTTTCTGTCTATCTGGTAATGATATTAAAAAAACCAACTGAGTGAAGAAAGTGGAGGCTAAGGAATATAATGCAGGGTCAATTTCTCTTCCATGCCACTGCTGTTGTCTGCACACCTATCACCCCTTTGCTCATCTTCCTTGATTTAAGTCCAAGTTAGTTAAAGTCAGCGTGTACCTGAATTAAATAAGAGATCCTGAACAACCACAAGATAATAACTTACTTATTTAACTAAGTCAAATTAATCATAATCTATCAATCAACTGAATGCCTGTTTAAAATATGCCTGAAGCACCTATTGTTCAAAACTCTACAACAACAACTGGCTAGTGGTGTTTCATGAAGTGAAAAAGCCTAGTTTATACTCACTCATTACGAAGTAATCAGCTCCTTGACCAATCTCAGCCCGGGCCTCTTCAACTGCATGTTTTACAGCAAACAGACAAGCGCAGGACATGCACAAAGGTGGCTCTCCCACAGCTGTGGGTTCAATACAATTAAGAATATAAATTAAAAAACATGATTTACTGACCTTGACAAAGTAAAATTATGACTATTTTCATATTAAATAATTCTACACATTCTTCAAGGATGGAACCGAAAGACAGCATTCCCATCTTCATTAAGGTGTTATTAAGTAAGATACTGTAGTATTGCTGTCGAATCAGAGAAAGTACTTAATAAGTGTTTGTGTGCACAATTGACAATTTTTGCTCAACCATTTTTACAGTCTCATGAAAATATATGGTTGTCATCATTAATCAAATAATAAGGTTGCCTTTGCATCAAACTCACCTTTTGACCTAAGAATTCCAAGTGGATTAGGAGCATTCTTCAGTAGAGTCACATTAAATTCAATTGGTATATCCTTGGAACATGCTGGCTTGTATTCCTGGAATTGCCCAGAAATAAAAGCAAATAAGGTTTTTTTTTTTACTTCGAAGAAACTGAATTTTTGGTGTAATAATTGCATAAGTATGCTAAAGCTGAAACCTGCAAATGTTTTATATGCCACATGGGAAAATGAGAAAATTGCTCTTTCATGACAGTTAACTAGCTAATCCTGTATGCAGTAGAATGGTAATTAACTTATCAGAGTGCAAAATCTCGTGTTGCACACCAATTGGCTTAACACCATGAACCCACCTTTCCATGATCCAGTTCTCTCAGTACAACTTGACCAGAACATAACCTGGTCATTGCAGATGTTTTAAATTAAGCAAGAAATTGTTGTGATAAAAATCAGACTTGCTTTTGAAAAGGAAGTGCAATAATTGACTAGCAACAATTTCACCCTGATTAAATTGGAATAAAACAAACATTTTTTCACCTCTGGAGACACCTTATGAAGAAAATAATTTATCTTTGCTAATTTTTAAGATAAGATTAAAGATTATATAACCATGAAGGCATGCTATAAATAGGTTGGCTCTGCCCCTCAGTCTCAGCTCAAATGCAAATTATGCCCTGGTAATATCATACGCAATGGCAAAGGGAAGCATTTCTAACTTCCAAATTTAATTGCCGCAAATGAAGACAGTTTTGATTGAAGGAAGAAGATACAACATCAACCAACTCTTCCATTGTGATGTAAGTGTGGAAACTTATTGCAGCTTCTAAGAAGTCCATGTGCTGTTCAATTGCTTTGGATTGGCTGCACCTCATATAGAGGGGTCTGTATGCCACAAAAGTTGATCGATAAATGAGGTACCTATAGAGGTACCTAGGGCATCTCGGCTTTTAAAGCACACCTTTATGTTTACATATTTTATGCAATCCAACTTAATTACCCATGTTCCATTTGTCAGGTTTTGTCCAGTTTTAGTATCATATATGAATTTCTCTGTCAACCACAAACCCAGTCCCATCACAAAAGCACCCTCCACTTGCCCAACATCAATTTCAGGGTTCATGCTGAAAAAGGCAAAAAAAAGTATGAAAAGTAAAAAAAAATTCACCCTTCTGGTTAAAAATCAAGTCTAATACCACTATAACATCTTCAAGAGCCTCTAATTCAATCAGGATATTAACTTTTTACAAACTTTATTTACGCTGGTAAAAGTGGTACCATTCTTAATTTGTAGGTATACAAAGGGAGTATCTTGGCTGTCAGGAGATGGTTCATAAAGGGGTTATAAGCCAGCAGCAAAAAAGCAATTGGTAATTTGCCCTGAAAAAATTGGCCATCAATTTTTTAACAGGAAGGACACAAAATTCTTGAAAGCAAGAAAGAAGCATTGAGAGGAAATTGGGGAAATTGCTCTCCCTAACAAGATGCCTGCACAGCTGGCCTAAGGGTAAAGGGCTGGACCTTAGAAAGAGCTTCCCAGCATCAAACTTAATCAAAACTGTAACAAAATTCTCAAACATGATTGGTTATCACCAGCCCGATTTGAGTACTAATAAGACAATGTACATGTCATGTTTGTAATTGGATAGTTTAATAGGACAGTTAAAGGAACAGTTAACATGTCATGCCTGTGTAAGTGGATAGAACACCAAGTTAACTGTTGTTGTTTTGTTCTATGAAAAGGTATAACCAATGTCTAGTTTCTCTCTCAAATTTTGTCATAGTTTTGATTAATTGGTAACAGGACTTTGTGTAATCCAATTCTGTCTGTAATCGCACTCGTGATCCTGCTTCCCAGTCCTCTGATTTTGTTAATCACTCATACGATTACAGACTCCACGCAGTTATTGGACTCCATTCAGTTCTATAACATTATTTATTGAACAACCACCCCTTCTCTGGTGCTCCCTGAAGGAAAAGGCATGTACAATGTAGTTATCAAATGTGAAAATACCTTACCTTTGTCCACAGTCCTCAAGTATGTCTGCACGAATTATCTCTCTTTCCCCAGTTAGAACATCCACCTCAACTTCCACACATGTTGCCCCATAAATATTGTAATTAACCATCTCACTGCTAGGGGCTTGGTACCTGATAATAATTTTAAAAATCTACTGTTTACCTAACTTTTTGACCGACACTTTACCACAGTTTCTACAAAGAAACTTTCCCCTTTTTTTAAAGAATATATGACTCAAAAATTTTGTGCATTCCTATATTGCTACTCAATCAGCATGAAGCAGAAATCTTGTGAGGTGGATAAAGATATCAGTGCATCACTAACCTGTATTTGGCTGACAAATCAGCACCATTTGCAAAACATTTGGCGATGATTTCAGCCCAAGAGGCTGATGGCATAGTCTTCCTCACAGGATCAATTACTTTGTTGAGGATATCACAACAGCCAAGAACAGTCTAAAGGAAAAAAAATATACAAATGACTGGAATTAAAAAAAAGATAAAAAATACCAAAAAATTGGTTGCTGTTAATAAGGCTGGCCATTATCATCATTATTATATTTTTTTAATTTCTCATCATTAGAATTTTGTAATAAGAATAAAAATAATAATTGTGAGCAAGAAATTGTGAGATATGATGATAATGCATGCTGTGAATTTTTTAGCCCTGACACCTACACAATTCCTCTGTGAACAGTTCCTAACAGTTCTTGTACTATGGACTACATAAGGTATATGAACCTCATTATTTTAACTGCCAAAAGTGAACTACATGTACACATGACAATTTCAAGAATTATCATAAAGTTAAACAAGACAAGAATTTCAACGTATTTATCTCTCTCTAAACAAGTTTGACCATCTTCAGTTTGGTAAAATCTCTTAGGGAACACAATCAGGTATGGTATATAATGAATATTCAGAAGGTAGAAAAGAAATCAGCCCAAGACCACTCTGTCACTTACCTTACAACACAATTCACTAGTAATACTTCCACCTGTTGCACCACCTACATTGAAGAAATAAAAATAAGTGGATAAATATGCCTGTAGGTAGGTTAACATTGAGAATGCAACTGGAACATTCTAAACCATAAAAATCAAACAAAACCTGTGATGGAAAACCTGAGGGTAATTACCTTTAATCTACAAATTGGCTTTTTTTTTCATCATAAATTAAGGTACAAATTTGAAAGAGGGCAAAGGGGAAATTCTCAATTGCATGACTAACTGACTACAAGCCCAGAACTTCAAAATGAAATAAATAAAAAAACTATGATGAACAAAAAGAGGAGATCAGTTATAATTCTACAAAATGGATATGTACTGATATTGTGAAAGACTCTGGTGAAACAAGTATCATTCCTGAAGTGATCATAGCATCAAATGAAAATTTCATGCATGGGGGGTAACTTACTGTTTGGATTGCTGAATGCTGACGTAGGTTTGATCGCAATTTTATCCAGAGGACATTTCAGCTGGTATGCTACAACTTGGGCTACCTGAAGCAGCAAGGATAAAATGCATAAGCATCTTGTGAACATTACAACATACTACACAACTACGGGTCATTGATGACCCCACTGCTCCTTTGGCTTATCAGATTTTCTACAACATACAGCCTGGAGTACCACTAATTCTCCTTCACGATTGCAGGAACACCCCAGCCCCTCTCCTCCTACAATTTGTCTTCTTTGCTTGACAACTATCAACCATCAACTATTGGGAGGCAGGCTCTGTGAGATACAACCCTTTAACTCCTAAGAGTGTCTAGGATTTAATTTCTCCTCACAAAATCAATCCTGAATCCAACATTGAGGTCACAAGAATAAATGATCACTAAATTAAGAAGCTCTTAATTGTTAGACAAACTCTCATTGTAAGTACCCCAGGAAATGTTTTGATAACAGTATGGAGAATTGGTATACTGATGTTAGGATGTAAAAGGTTAAGTGTGTCAAGCATCTTACTCAAGTATACAACACAGTTGCACTCAAGCAAGGGTGTGAACCTGCATCAGGGTATGCAAAATTCCCTGTCGATGCCAGAGAAAATTACCATCAACTTTCTCTGAAATTAGCATCATTAGAGTACAAATCAAACTGCCATTTACACAGCTTGCTTTGCAGTTTTTCCCATCTATTTCAAAACTAAATGAAACCCCTAATGCACCTCTTGGTCTGGAGTTTAGCATTTTAATTACCAAGTCAGAGAGACTTCAACCAGCATAACTTATGAATACAGACAAGATTTTTCTCCTTGACTATACGTTATTTGAGATACAGTTTGACCAGTACTATAAGAAAATCACCTTGGTGTTGATTCCTTGGCCTACTTCAATACCTCCATGAGAAATGGCAATTGTGCCATCTGCATGATATATTGATATCATTGCTGTAAACTGGGAACCAAAATACGCTATACCATATTTGAGAGGGACAACACTGATTCCACGTTTTCGCCAGCGATTATTCTTAAAGAAAGACATTCACAAGTTTGAGTATACAAAAATCTCAACACTATCATTCTATTTCAGAACTAAAGAGGTTGAGAAGCAAAAAAGCACCAATACAGGTGAGACATCAAAAGAAAATGAAAGACCATTTGGGTAAAAAAGTTGTACTTAAAATCTCAGTTAACTACATGACAATGTACCTCCTTGATCAGGGACTTGAAGATGATAATTATAATAATTCTTTCAATGGTGTCTTCATAACACAACGTAATAAACTGCTTACCATTCAGTCTGACACATAATTTGAAAGGCAATCTATAGAATATGAGATAGACTCAGGCTATTACTGATATATGTACCTTGTTGAAAGTATCAATAGCAGTTTTTCTAGTCTGGAAGTCACTTGAAACAAGAATATCTAAAGTGTGGAGTAAAAAAAAAAAACATGTCCCTATCAGCTACTACAAAGAAGAATTATAGATATTTATCCACAGTATTAACAAAACCTTATTAAACTGTGTTATACACTTCCAATCTGTTCAAAAATAGTGATGATTTCAGATAACTGCTGTTTCAGTCTCTCAGCCACAAGTGATCCTTATGATCAACTTACTTTTCCACAGGGTGTCCAAGTTGCAATATTTCAGCGTCTGACCCATCTGAGTTTTCTGTAAAATTAATACTTGTTAGACCACTTGTAATTGGGACAATTTTGATTACATGCTTGTACGATAATGTAAGACATATTGGAAGGCTTAATTTGCAAATCTTCAAAAACTCAGCCCCCCTACGATCGCATAAGTACATGTACAGTTAGTTATTTTAAAGTTGAAAGATGATGGTAACACCAATTTCACAAACACATTACATTGCTAAGAGGCCAAAAGTGAAGAACATAACTTGCAAGATACCTCTCCATTCTTGTATAAATTCACTTTTCTCACAACTTCTGGTGTCAGTTTTAGTTCTTTAGCAACATGTTCCATAATTGTCTCGATTATAAACACTGCTTGTGTAGAAGCTAAAAAATATAATAAATAAAAAATATCAAGTTACTCTTAGAAAACTTCCTATAACTGGAACTTTTAACCATAAAATCAGGTTAGAGAGCAGCCCCAAACCTCACAGGGTATGGGAGGAAAGTGGTTATTGTAGAGAAGTGGCCTTTTAAGAGAGGGTGGGTACAATGTGGCACCAGTTTCTTTCATTGTTGAATTTATTTTCAAAATATTATTTCATGGCTTGGAGAAAGAAAAAAAAATGAAAATGTTTACTTAAATAACCATATACATGTGAATAAGATTCAATAAAACAGAAACCAAAAATTAAATTTCAGAAGAAATATAACCAGAGGCCTACAGTTAGAACAGGCATAACCATTAAAAAAGGCTACTTGAGGTTGTTAAGCAAGCTTTTGTGTATTTTCTTTAATCAAAGCAGATCCTTTGTTTGTGGCTTGTATAAGTTTTTCATTGCCATGAACAATGGCCATTCTCAATTTTTATATACCTGGTGCACGACACCACGTGTTGCTTGCGGTGTTAGTGTGGGTGGCATATGGGACAATCTTCCAGTTGTCACAAAAGTACGCTATAATGTATAACACACTTAATAAGTACCTGTCACAAATCAGCATTCTATTTGAATGAATGAGAATTCTTACTTAATTCAAACAATTATGAGGATATACATGTCAAGGAAACCTAATTCAAAATATCAAATCTGATAAACCCCTCCAAGATAAAATAAAATTTTGTGCTACATTGGGTAGGTCTAAATGGGGTAATTTAGTATTACCAACTGAGATGATAATGTAAATTGGCCACCATAAAGAGTTTCAAAGCTGACATTTTGCATGTTAGCCCTTCACCAATCGCTCTGACAAAGGGCCACATTATCAACTCAGTTGATAATACTAAATTAACCTGTCATACTCTCCCACAAATGCAGCACCACAGTTTCTTTAGCAACTTACCCCTTCAAGCAAGTCTAAAACTAGTTGTCTAAAACTAGTTGTCTAGAAGTGCTCAATGTAAGTTAATTGGACTAACAAATTTATTGGCAAGTCACACTCAAGCTGCTGCTCCAGTAGCTACTGGCTTGTTTGACTGTGTTAACATGTGACTTCTTAAAAGATAATCAATAATCTATTAGATTAATGCAAAATCCAACAGGACAATAATAAGGATGAATAAACTCATCTGCTAAGTGGCATTGTATTAATTGATACAAGAAAATATTCTCTCAACTAATTTACATTAACTGAAAGTAAGAATTCAACTCAGATATTCAGAATTAAAGCATGAAGTCTGGCACTAACCGTTGTCAACCCAGGATTGTGCTGTACCTACATCAATAGCATTGGGTGTGCTGCCACAGTCAGCATACAAGTTAACATCAATGCCATTCAACTTGCCATCACTTCCCACACCCGCCTGTAATCACAGAAAAAAGGGAAGACTGATGTGAATGTTATTGATTTGGTCAGTGAGGCAGGACCTTAAGATTTCAAACTCTAATCCTCTACCACTGAGCCAATGGAGCTTATAACTTTTAAAGACATAAATTTAATTTGGAGCTGTGGCTGAAAATCGAGTAGCAATTTCAGCAATAGTCCATTTTACAGTTGCATGCTTGGTTGCCAAGCCTTTAAACAGGAGTGAGGCTAAGGGTGACTTTGTTATGATACAACCTTGCTGGTTTTTAAATGCAAATTACTTTGTTATCATGCTAACTAGCTACTGGTCTCTTTTGCAACAAGGTCACCTTCAGCCTCACTCCAAATCAAAGGCTTGGCAACTAAGTACACAACTATACAATGGCCTATTGCAGAAAAGTTAAGCCTGAAAAAAATCCAGGCTTTGACGGGATTCAAACCGTGCCCCCTATACTACATGTAGTTGGAGGCTTATACCAACTGAGCTGGAAAACCACAGCTGCGAGCAAGGCAACACACTCAAATAACATTAAACCTACAAGGGTGGTTGGTTTTTGCAATGGAACTTGTTAGTAAGCCACCCTGTATTCAAGGTTCATATCTGACTTGTCTCACTAAGATGACTGAGCTCAAAATTTACCATCCCTCTAAATCTACTACTAGTTTAAGTATAATTATACAGTAAGTTAGAACACTTCAAGCCACTTGAAGCCTGGTTGTAAATCAAAACTGTAGAGAAACTAAGCTATAGTGTGTTACTGAATGACTGAATATTACTGAATATCTCTTTGACCACTAAATAATTTTGTATTTCAGCTTGAGAAACAAAATTCATTTCAACCTCTGATCATAGTTATGTGATAGGACTGTGAATCTAAGACAGATTGACACTATCCATATGACCTGCAATTTATTTTTTCTCAAATTACTTGATTCATGAAAATAGCATCCTGTCGACTACATGTACCTTATAAGTTGCTTTGTAAGGTTCTCTTACTCCAACCATTTCCATATTGGTACTAAGATTCAACCTCATCCGAACTGGTCTATGGTTTGAAAAGAATGTTTCACAAATATAATCTTGTGGTGTTGTTCAAGTTATACTTTTTTAAAGTATAAATGCTCTCATTTGACATTTGTTACACAGTGGAAAAGCCAGTGGAAAAGCCAAGAAATGAAATGTTTTACCTCTTTGTGACATACGCAGCTATGGCACATGCTGTAGCAACATGATTGGCTCCAGTGATTCTTGCTCCATATGCACCTCCACATCTCTTAACACTCAAATTAACACTTAAAAATACAACATAGAAAATTCTGGTTGTTCTTCCATTACAATCACTACCTTACATCCCATATATCCTTATCCCTCCTTATCATAACCTCTGATATCTCCCTATCTCCTATACCATATTCTTACCTATCAGCACCCAGATGCTTATTTAAAATTTTGGCTTAAAGGAAGGGCTTTTATCAGAAGGAAGGTTTTTTATTGAGGGGAGCCCTTGCTAAGAAACTATTCTCCTGTACCGATTTCACTGTGGCTGAAGGTTAAAAGATTATAAATAAACTGACAATAAAACAGACTTTCCTTGTGGTTTACATTTCATCTTGCCACCAAGGCAATCTTGCCATCACCCAGTGGCTATCAGCAACCTCACCACTTTGGTTGCAAGCTAATTTGGTATAAATTCAAAGCTTTAGGCAACTCTTAAGTTAGATCTTAAGTCTTGCAAGGACTGCCATCAGTCTAGAATGCCATGGGCAATAACACAGAGCCATGCTGAAGGCTCAATAGTTTTTTCAAGATGGCAGAAGCTTAGTCAAATGTGCATAACAATTGAAAGCCATCACCTTGATCTGATCAAAGATATCAAATAGAATACTGCTAGTCAACAGCACAATTGCTAACGGATGTCTTGAGTGTTTAGAGGCGAGGTAACACGCCTTTGTGGTGAGATAAATTACACTTTGGTGGCAAGCTCGCTGATGGTAAGTCTTTCTGGTGGCAAGGTGGCTGGGTTCCAAATACCTCCATGTATACTTACTAATTAAGAAAGTAAGGGAGGAGTAGGGTGCTTATTCAAGGGGAGGTGCTTGATTGGGGGAGGGTGCTTATTCCAGGAAATACCATCTACAGATCCTTACCTCCCATAAATCCCTATCCCCACAAAAATGTATCCCCGATAATGTATATATCTTCATAGATTGTTATCTCCCATATCCCTATTCTCCATGCTCCTCATCTCCCATACATCTCTATTACAGACATCAAGTATTTATTTACCTTTGGACTGGATAATTGAGGGTCTGTGCCACAGCTGCCTGAGTAAGGTCTACCCACTGTGTAGGGCAGTGGACAGTCATACCATCCTCTTCAGGGACACATAGTGCAGCCTGCCAATCATGCGGTGCATATTGGAAGAGAAAGAACAACAACAACATCAAAGAATATTTTGTTGCGTACAAAAGTAACTTGTTGCAGGACAAATTCAAGCAGCAGAAAGATAACTGTAACATGCAAATATCACTCTACTTAGGGTAGCTCTGGACAAATCTCTGGTTACAAAGCTTTCTCCCCATTGTGAAAGCTAAATGATAATTTTGATGCACCATATATTTGCTCACACGGCATGGCTTGGATTGCCTGGGAAGACATCAACACTATCTTCAAACTGAACTCTCATTGATTCTAACTTTCCCAAAAGGGGAGTGACATAAGAGCTAAATCCTTTTTAATCCACATCATCTCAGAAGCATGAACTGATCCTCTTTGTGGTTTAGTGAAAATGAACAAAAATGTTTTGCTATGTACGATAAGCTCATCAACTGTACTTACAAATAGGGAAACATTTTATTTCATCTTCACAACAATTTCACTAAGTTACTAGCATTAACATTTGACTTCTGCTTACTACAGTGAAAAATTCACCAAGCATTAAAATACTGAAAACTAATTTTAAAAAGTATGAAGTCCCATGACCGTAAAAAAGGAACTGGCAAAACCACTAGTGGCCATTCCACAAACCCTTTTGTATTCTTGCCAAGAAATACAAAGCAAAAAATTATTCATTGGTCACCTGAGTTTCCATATGAAAGTGGTACTGGTGTCCAGTAGATACCGCCCCTTGTATGACGTGTGGTGAATTTTTTATTGCAGCTAATCAAGAAAAAGAAAATAACATCAATTTGAAAATGAATCAGAATTGCATTTCCACTCTCAATTTACCCCTGGTAAAGGAAAAGAGAGTAGCTATTGGAGTTTGATCACAGAATGAACAAAGGTTATCAGTTTACTGGATGCATCAAAGTAAACTAAATGATCTTTCAAGAAGTCAGATGCCACTACCATCCTAGACACAGCATATAGGGCCCACCTATCATAGGCATAGGTACTTAGGATGTAAATAAAGGGGGTAAGTTTCCAAAGAAACTGTGGTGCTACATCGGTAGGAGAGTATAACAAGGTAATTTAGTATTATTGACTAAGTTTATATCGTCAAATAGCCACCATAAAGAGTTGGAAAAGTTGAATATGTTTTGAGTCAGCCCTTGTCAGAGAGATTGAAACCTCAGCTTTTAAACTCTTTATGGTAGCCAATCTACAGATAAGACCATGCACGACCCAAAATCAAATGCAGTTTTATTGTACAACATAACAAGAGCCATGTGATTTTATTCAAAGTCTGGGCTTCATTTGTTACTTACTTTCAGCATCTCCTTTAGTAATTGTCTTGGCCTGGGGATCAAAGAAGGACTCTGCAGCCACTGCTTCGTCAATAGTGAGTAAGGGAGGTTCTTGATCTTTGTATGTCACTTTAACAGCTTTGGCTGCTTCATCTGCATGCCGCTGAGTATCTGAAGTAAAGATAGACAATTTCAAATTTTGTTCTATGAATCTTGAAGTGTTTGGATATTAGCCCAAGCAAGCCTGCGAGATCCACAATTTTAACGATGAAAAGGCAATTTTGGTTTTTTTCTTTAGGAAAGTTTGAAGAGTTCATTACAAAAGTGGATAAAAGTGGGCTAGAAAGTTCTAACTGATAATTAAATTCCCTCCAGGAATGTAGGAAGAAGATGAAAGACATGAGATAAGCCAAATCCACACAACCTGTTGTAAAAAAACAGTAAACAAAGAAGAAAAAACTGTGGAAAAGACAGGAGCAATTTTACATTGAAAAATCACCACAAGGAAGGAGAGAGAGAAACTTATCATGATGATCATGTTATAGTTATAGAATGTAATATTTCATTAGTCATATTACAAAAGAGCACTTAAAACCTGTAAGTATCAACAATAGAAACACTACAACAAGATGGGCACTGTGATGTCATTTGTAGCACCTGGTCAACTTGCCAAGATTGCCATCTAAAGGAAATATTAGTCAAGAACAATATATTTTTAAATTTAACTTATTATAATGTGCAAATTCATCCCATAAAAAGGAAGTAAATGAAAATGAAATATGAGTTCGATGAAGTGCAGGCATCTTTAAGACAAGGGAAAAATGCTTTGTGCATTCAAATCACTTATTGATAAAACTCTTCATTGATGATCAATTGTTGTCACAAACAGTTCATAACATCCTCACTAAATGTCTCTGGCTTAAAGCATAAGTCTTGGGTGACAATAATAAACATATAAAAAAAAGCAAGCTGATAACAACTATTAACAAACCAGCAATTATAGCTCCTAAGGCTTGCCCAGCATATGAAACATTTCCTGAACTAAATATCTGCAAGCAAAAAGAAACTGTTTTATCCAGACAATCAGGCAATCTTTGTTAAGTGACCCACAGTAAGGAAAATAATTACACTGTTACATGTACCTATAAAACCTACCTCTTCAACTGCTAAACCAAAAGATGTTGGTGTGAAATTGTTAATGCCACCTTTAGGAATATCTGCTGCTGTGATGAATTTGACAACTCCAGGCATTTTCTGTTACAATCATAAAGTAATTTCAGAAAATGAGCTTGCACACAAACTATTCTTTAATCATCACATATGACCTACAAGCTGTTTTCTTTACCAGAAAGACAAATATAGAAATTTCACTATTAAAAGTAACTTTTTTATCCATTTTTGTCCAAATTATTCATCCTGTTTCTCTTGTGCATATCAGTTAACCCTTTCACTCCCAAGATCACAACAGTAATACTCCTTACTGTCTGCTACACAATTCTTATGATGTTAGTTTGGAGAATTTGGTATTGGATCAGCTAATAATTCCCTAATTGACATTTTTCTCTATTCTCAACACTGTCTGCTTGATATTGTATGAATTTTGTAGGGAGAAATTCTGTCTTGGTCACTCACAGGAGTTAAAGGGTTAACCTAAACAAACATGCCTTAATTGAAAGTTTTTTTTTTAAGGTTTCTTCATCTGTTATTGATTGATCTTCACAACCAATTACACTGTGAAGGTAAATTATGAAATTATATGGGAAATAGTTGGAAATAAAATTAAAAGATAAAATGCTTTTCACAGTAATGAATGTCTATTGTCAGAATCAAGAAACCAGGCTTCACAATGAAGGGTGAACAGAACTATGAAAAATGTATGTTGTTTTATCATGATAAAAAATAACAATAACTCTTTTATTACCAAGGCCTCTGATGCATCATAGGAATCAATCTTGCAGTTTCCCTGAAAAATTCAACAAGAAAAAAAATGCAAATTCAGTTGTCACAAGAGCAGGGCAAAGTAATAGCATGTACATGACCTTCCTTGTATCTGCTGGATTTTTTAATCAAAACCCTTTCAAGAAATTCATCATCACCTGAGCAGTAACCCTTATAGCAAGAGAAGGAGCCCTTACTATCAATTTCATCATGGATCAATTAAATAACTTGATAAAAAAACATATGTGAGTGAGTCCTTCTAAAACAAGATTACCTGTGTGCTTATGACAAAGGCTGCATGAAGTTCCCCACCTTGCATGGGAATGTCTGATATGTACTGAGCTTCACCAGATGTCTGAGGAAAAATGCACACAACTCTCCTCTCAATTCCGTGATGCACATTTTGATTTAAGTATAATAGTTACCTCAACTTACGAAGGACTACAACAAGAACAATGGGAAGTGTTGTGTCTCATGTCGAGACAGAAGCTATCATATACAGAACATTTGCAAAAAGATTACTTCTTCATTGGGCACAATCAAGCGAATATGACATCTTATACCCTTTAATGTATTAATTAATGTATATGATAGCCTAGTTCAGCCATATTTTAATTATTGTTAGTAGCGTTGTCTGGGGCAACTGTGGCAGTGGTCTCTCTGAGAAGCTTCAGAAGCTCCAAAATCGTGCAGCCCATATTTTAATGTGTGCCAATTATGACTATGATATTGATGAATTGTTCCAGGTACTGGGTTGGTGTAAACTCAAATATCAAAGATTTGAATCAGCTGCTGTTATGATGTACAAATCTTTACATGGGATGACCCTTGAGTATCTGAGTTCTAGATTTGTATTTCGAAACAACATAACATCACATCGATTTTAGGAATACTGAAAATAAATTGGCTCTTCTGCAGCCCTGCACTAATTATTTGAAGAAGAGTTTCTCTTAAAGCGGAGCCAGGTTGTGGAACAGCCTATCTAGTGACCTTCATGCAGCAACATCTTTACATGATTTTAAACTTAACATACATCACCAAAGTTATGAATGAGTTTTAACACAGCATCCTTGTAGAGCAGCTTTTAGTATGTAGTTTAGGTTAGTTAGTTTAGTTAGGGATGATTAGTTGATCTTGTATCATTTTATAATATTTGCTGAAGGATTTACCATGTATTAAGTTACCATTACTATTACCAAATATATCTCAAACACTCCCTTCTCTTCAAAGTTAAATTTTCTATCTTTCCAAGGTGACAAAAAATTGTGTATTATGGAGAAATAGAAAGCAAAGGAGGACAGACATAGGGGCAAAGGGAGAAAAGGAAAGAGACATTGATCACACACTGGCCAGAGGGCTAGAGAGCAAGCAAGCTGGCTAACAGCAGAGAGGGTGGGCGGAATTAAGGGCTGGAGAGCAGGAAGGGGGTAAGCTGAATGAGGGCATGTTTGAGAGCTCTTTCTGGAGGTAGGCCACTTGGACACATTTCAATATACAATGCTTTATTTTTTACTTTACAAGCTCAGCAGCCCACAGCAAAAACTCTTACCTGCAGCTTGGCAGCCAGTTTAGTCATTGGTTTCGTCAACGGATATTCCTTCTTTTGTGTGTCATAGTCCTGAGTGCCAGATGATACTGGACGAATAAAAGGCACTGCTGCAGACTTAACCCTGGCTGATGCTTTGTCACCCAAAACTGTCAAATAGAACTATGAAAAAGAGAAAAATGACTATGACTTTGGTTCCTATGCAATATGCTGTAAGTTAATTCAGCAAGTCACCATGAAGAATAGTACATATGTACTCCATAAACACCCTTGAAACAAGTTAACAGACAGAATACTGCCATTAAATAAAATGTGGAGTTCATGATGCCAAAATATGACCTTGAATACAATTTGGAAAGCTGAGCTGAAGTGTTGAGAGGAAAAAGGTTTCAGAGATATAAATTTCAATACCTTGTAAAACAAGCCAAGAGCTAGTGATTTGCGGTATTCCTTGCTTGCACCTGCAGGAGGAGAATCAGGGATAATCTCCTCTCCAAGTGTAGTCAAAGCCTCTGAGAAAAAAAAAACAACACCAAAAACTGGGTATCAGTAATTTTACTGACTCTCCCAGACTAAACAACAGCTTAGTGAAGTCTTCCAGTACGGATTAGGGCTCTCTGATTGGCTTTCAAATGCTCTCATGCACTGAAAGCGATTTTGACTGATCAAAATGTACACTTCTTCCAAGTGAGCTTATCAGAATCACTTTGCCTTTAAAAAGGTTCAGTCAAAATTTAAACATTTATTTACAACTGTGAAAAAGGAAGTTAACCACTCCTTAGTTTCAATGCCCATCCATTTTCCCGCTGACTCTCTACAGTGAGAATGTCATTATTAGGATAAGAAATTCATTCTCAAACTTTGTGTTTGCATGATCAGTGTAGTCAACAATTGTTCATCAAGATGAAGGCAAAGAGTAAATTAGCCAGTCAGCACACACTAAAAGCACTTTAAGTCACCTGAGTGGTATATACATGTATTATGACTATAATTGTATATATTAGTGAGTTTAAGTGAGTGGTACATCAACTTCAACAATAACACCAAGGGGTACAAAAATACTATGAAAACAAAATCCATCTTGATTCAGATGTAATATTTGACACAAATATAAGCACTAGATTATCTCAAAACCTCAGCAATCACCTGCAAGAGTAGCCTGCTCAGTAAGTGTTTTACCAACCAAGAAAGATTCTGTTTTGAAAGGGTGCATCTGTGCAATAAAAGTTCAAAATCAACCTCCTCAAACTACTAATATCTCTATACTACAATTCAACTGAATGTAAACTACCTTACGATTTTGAATCTTGGTTTGCAACCTGGCTGTGTTAACCTATGTTTTCATCTCTCAACTAACTGTTTGAACAGTAAGGAGCTTTGCAAAAAGGTATAATAAAATTGTGATGTTTTTCAGCAATTAGCAAAGCAAAAGCAGTTTTAACCCAGCCATTGTGGTTTTATATGTGAGCCAAGGTTGCCGCCTGGTCATTTTCAAAACAGCCGCATCTTAAGTCAAATATTTAGTGTATCTGAAGACATTTTTTGAATGGCTTAGTTAATTTTACCAAAAAAAATCTAATCAATGATTTCTTAAGTATACTTTTCCACTGATCAAAAGCTATTGAATGGTCCATTGACTAAACAGTTTGCACTTAATACAATAGCTTTCATCACTGTTTACGAAATATTCTCAAAATATTCAAAGATATTACACTTGTATGATGTATTAACTTACTGCATGCGGCTCAATTCCACCATAGACAATCCTGACAGCACTTAAAGTCATTGTACTCTTGTCAACTTTTGCTACAAACCCAGCATTCACATAAGCATGTGCATTCTGAAAGTTAAATTTGCTAAAAGTCATTAATTATCATTTATACATGTATCAAAAAGACTTGATGGAGAGGCAGCAAGATACACATGTATCATCTGCATGCAAAATTAAAACACAGGAGCTGATGAAAAAAGATATACAAGGGTTTAAAGAAATCAAATTGAAAAATTATGATACTAAAATGTTTTGCAGATAAGAGACATTTATTAGTATCAAACGCAATATTCATACCTGTGATCTTGGCATAACTTTGTAGGTGCAAATGATGTAGTCACTTGTAAATATAGGTAACAAGACTGCCAAGATTACCTGGAGAAGTAAAAAGAATTATTTGTGGTACTGCCATTACAATAAACAGAACTATAACCACAGTTTTTCAGGTGCAGTGTAGGAAGAGGGTATATGTAATCTAACTATGGGTGAAAGTCATTAATAAATTCTGGTCTCACTAAGAATGTTAAGTTCTGTGAGGATAACTGAAAAAAAAAATTCTTGTCACCATGATCCTTTTGGAAGCTTATCAATAAAAAGAAAATATCATAAAACAACTAAAACCACACCCACAAGCTTGAATGTTATATAAAGGAAAATTCTGAAGAGTACCCATTGGAGCTGGTCCTCACCTCCCACCTTAATTCCCAATGGAAGGTGGGGCACAATTTTGATTAAACAAAGGAGTCAAAACCTGGCTTTTGTAAATTTGTAACTAATTTACAATAATAAAAGAAGTTCAAATCAAGATGCCTTCTTGTCTACCTGATCTTCAAAAGGTCCCTTAAAATTTCAGGACTTGTTTTCATTCATGTAACTTGTATGAAATGGTGAAAATTAAGACAAATTCTGGATGTAGTGGGGTTTATTTAAAGCAAATTAAAACAAGTTTTTTACATGTGTTAGTATACCTTGCTAGTCATATCCAAAGAAAGGAACTGCATAAGCGAATACTGAGTTTCACTTGCTGTTGAACTGTCAGCTATAAAAGTTGACATATCATTTCATAATAAACTCACAGCAAATATGACAGAAAGTAAAAAAAATACTGTTACAAAAGACATTTGTACCTACAGACCGGTACATAGAAAATTATCCTCAGCCTAATTATTCAAATGTGATAAACATTCATCATAGAGAGGTTGAAAAGTGATTCCATGGTTAATTAACAACATACATGTAGTGAACCAACAACAAAGAATACTCTATATTCATTGAGAACTTGTGATTGCTTATTTTAACTGCCTTCCCTTGCTTTTGACTGAAAGTTTAGAAATTTTAAAAATGTTGTATGGATTGTGGGATACTTCGCAGTTGTTCATGTCAAGCTAAATTACGTGAGGTGGTTGAATTTAGGATAAAAATAAGAGTAAGATTACCCCTGGTTAACTACCACAACTGAAAGTTTTTAATACTCATTTTGTTTTTCGTAGTTCTCAAAGTTTTCTGCTGTGTCACAAGACAGTCAAACCATGGCTAGATTGCATAAAGTTTTGCTTTCAAGATCCCTTCATAAGATCTGACACTCTCCAAATATTTCATTAATCTCACCCATTTTTTATTTGATGAAAGAGAATTGTCAATTCTATAACCTAATGAGGTGTCAACAATTTTTTGTAACAGATCAATAACTACAAGCACTGAGAGAAGGGGGGGAAAAGCCCTCACCAATAATCAGCCTTGCACCAGCAGCCTCAAGGATGGTGAAAATGTCAGATGGGAAATCAGGATGATCATGAGTTAACATCAAATTCCCAGCAATACTGGCAACCTACAACGAGAAGTTTCTAGTCATTGGTATTTTAATAACAATAATTAATGAAATTCCACTTCTGTTTAATCACTGTGTCATCTTTGCTGGGTCTGCTGGTTGCTGATGGAAACAGCAACAGAGGGAAAAAAGAAAAGAGAAATGATACCCAACATTTCGTTAGGAATTCTGATTACTGAGATGGATGACTGACAGTTTATAGGGATATAATACTATTGTTAGTTACTGATGTACCACCAAAGAAGTAACAGTAAATGATAAACACAAAATAAAATATTACTTACGTTCCGAACAGGAACATTGGCCACCTACATACAATGATAAAAGAAAAAGAGGAAAATAATGTTTAAGGGCTTTTTTTTAAACTGCATCTTAACACTGGTGAACAACTGGGCCTCTAGAATTCTAAGTAACGAATAAGATGGACATAAAAGTAGGTGCACATTATATTCAGGGACATTGGTCATTGAAACACCAAAAAATAAACTAAAATTGAAATCCTTTGGAAGGCACTCTTAGACTAACACTCTGCTAAAAATACTTCATCAGATCAGGAAAAAACCTTCCTCACAAAATACCTATAGTTAACAATAGTAACAAAAGCTTCAAAGACGCAAAAACTAACTAAGAAAAAATGAAAGCCACAAATAAATAACTTGTTTGCAAATAATGATCACTGCGTTTATTCTTCAATGGCACTAAACTAAGTCTTTCCAACAGGCATATCCAGCTATTGACTCATTTTAGGCATTCTCAGAGATCTGGAAGTATGCTAACCTAATGCTAACCTAATTAACATTACAAAATGCTGCTTCTTTGTTATTTGAGAACTTGTAAGTATAATGTAAAGAAAGTCCAACTTCTTTTTACACCCTGTAAAAGTCAAACAGGAGGTTGTAGGCCTGAGCCTACAGGGCAATGGGCTGGCTATGCCCCTAACATTACAGTAGACTTTTAGGTGTGTAGAAGAGGGAATGCTCATTAAAGCTAAACCCCCCTGACCTTTGTGGTTAAAGCTTTGTCATCCTTAGAAGTTGGCATTTTTATCTGAAATGGTTAGAATCTCTGTTGGTGTGATTACCTTGCGCACATGATCAGCTAACACTTTGTAACCAGACATCTTCTCAGCTTGGTTATCCAGCACATTTATGAGAGTGTTCAGGGAAACAGCAGCACCAATGACAAGATCACCATTGGGTACCTGGAAAAACAAACAGTACACAAGATATTTCAGTTTATATTGTCTTTACTACTGCAAGTTAACAGGCTGGTCATTGATATCTTTGAGATGGTTTGGGGATAACTAAATTGTGGTTCCTGATGCATCTTTTAATCCTTAACAACCTAACATCAGTATGAATATTTTCCATGCTGTTCTTTATACATTTCCTAAGGAGCTGACAAGGTGAATTTGTTTAATAATCAAGAGTTCCTTTAATGGGTGATCATTTCCTTTATTCCTGTGACAATAATATCTGATTCAGGGAAGAAATTATTAGGAAAAATTAGATGCTAGTAACTCCTAGGGGTCAAAAGTTTAAGATTAGCACTGCACCGATCACTTCTTTCCATTAACTTTTTAACTCCCAAGATCTGATTGTTAATTCTCCCCTCTAGCTTCTACACATTTCCTTGTAAATTGGCTAAGGGAATTTAGTGTTAGATCAAGATAACAATTTCTACCTGATAATATTGAGTATTCTCATCACTCTTTTAAGAATAATGTATGGATATTATAGGGAGAAGTTACAAGTAAATCACCTCTGGGAGTTAAAGGGTTAGCAATTATAACCACTCAGTGGCTGTAGCTGCCCTGTGGGCAATGAAAGGAATGTGCACCATAGTGGAGCTTTAAAAGATCATATTAAAGTAAATAATGTACCTCAGTTACACTTGGTATGGTGTGGAGTTTCTCGATTTTTGTAATGTCGATCATTACATCAAAAGGACCATCATTTTTGTAAATACCTGCAAAATACCAAAAATGTGATTTGGTTAATATTTTTTGAAAACTGGTTTCATTTTCTACAACCCATATAATTATGTATCATGCATGAACAACTTTCTTTTCTCTCTCTAACTATTTGTTCAAAAATGAAAAAGTTCATTTTCAATCCTGCACCTTTAAATTTTAAAATAAAAAATAGAAACAAACAAAACTATTTGTGCCCTTAATTTAGAGGTCACTGGAAAACATAAAGACTATTTGCACAGCTTTTATTTTCACAAAATTGTACAACATGCAAGAAACATTCTACAGTCAACAGCTAAGAAAATGACTGTGTACCTTTTCCAGAATTTCCAGCCACAAGCCTGATCTTGTTGTTTTTGTGCTTTGACATGAGTGTGTACAGATCAGTCAGTGTTGTTGGAGAGTACCAAAGTACACCACTAACTTCATAAACAGATGTTGTGAGACATTTCCTTGTACAATTGAGACCTCCATTGCCACAGACACCTGGACACTTGGTTATTTCCTGGTGAGGAAAGTCAGTATATGAAAAAATAATTAACATCATCGGCTGCAGAAAACTCTGATAAGATAATGGGGTTTACTATTCATGGTGACAACTGACACTAAGAAGTTCATGAAAGTAGTTCTCCAGTGTCATAAGCATAATCTGCTTTTAAGTCTTTGTTTGGGCCTGCTACACAACATTCTTCCTTTCCCATGATGGAGGAGGAGGGGAGTGATTTGTATGATGACCCCAAATAACCCCTACAAAACACATTTATTTAGTCATTACAATATGTCAAAAAAAGACAGAAAAAACCCTTACAAATCTTTTTTAAGAACATCTGGGTTATTACAAAATATTTTCAGCATCTCTGGATAGAAGCCTTCAAAAAAGACCAATAAACTTGGAAAAAGAGCCCTTGACTTACCATTCTGTGAAAACAAACCTGTCAGGACACATTGAAAATCAATGGTGGGCAAGTCAAATATGATTGAAATGAAGTCTTGTTCTTACCTCAATGTCTATTGGATTTTCAGACTTTGCAAATGTTTTCATTGCATCCAAAATTGGTCTGTAGCCTAACCAAAAAAAAAAAAAAATGGTGAAAATACTTGCATAAAGAGCTGCACATGACACTGAATGCATCAGAAAAATATGCAATCAAGTTCTGAATCAGTAATTTGTTTCACAAGACGATAAATTAAATGCAAGGTAGAGAAACCTAGTCCGATAATTAATGACAAATTAAATAGGACTTGATTTATTCTCTCAAGTAAATGATTGTACATCTTCTCTACATGTATCTCTAGCTCATGTGTTCCTCTTTTAAGCATGGAGCATCCTCCAAACTGCTTCTCTACTGACCACCTTCTCTGAATTTAGAGTTCTTGGTATTTTGTTCTCAATGTGCACATTAGTCATTTACACCCTAGTATCAGAGTACAGATTCTCCTCACTGTTCTTTGTATATATCCTGTGGTACTGACAAGGAGAATGTTTAACAATCAAGTCTTACTGATCCTCTTAATATTGATAATTTCCGTTATTCTTAAGACCTCAATGTTTGATTCAGCAGTGTTGCTGTAAGGAGAAATTAGATGCTGGTCACTCTCAAGGGTTTAAGGGTTAAGAGGTAATTCAAAGACACTTTTCACAGAACAATGGTTGCCATTTTTTTACAAGTCCTGATACATGTATGTCTCCTTATCTAGCCAACATTTTCCTTAATACTCAATCGAAAAAAAAGTGTTTTTAAGAACATTTATTTTTAATATGTAAAGGAATTCCACACACAAAAGTATTCTACCTGTGCAGCGACAGATATTTCCATCAAAGTTATCTTCAATCTGTTGTTTGGATGGACTGGGATTCTCCTGCAACAAACTAATCAAAGAAAGTAACAGTAAATTAATATACTTGATATATCCATTAATATCCTGCTGACATAATTTAAGTATTTAACTGCTCAGTGTAGAAAGTAATTAACAGTATTTAACTGCTCAGTAGAAAGAGGAAATGTTTCAAAAAACCAATCTCAATGAATCTCAGGTACTGAATTGGAGACAGACACAGGTAACCCATTGATATTAAAGCACCAAAATGATGTACCTATTAATAATGGCCTTCTTAACATTATCTGGTGTGCACAGGAAACCTTGTCCACACTGACTTGAAACTGTTTTACAATCATGCAAACTACATGTATATAGAGATGTTATCTTAGATTCACAGACATCTTCCAGTATGACCACTCTCACTGGAGTCCCGAAAGGGCAAGTAATTCTCAGGGAACAAGCACTGAGTTCCTTCTAAATCTTTGTCACCTTTGTTTACTTTGATCTTGGAGGCACTGATTAAAAAAACTGAATCTACTTGAAATCATCTTTCTTGTTACGCCACAAGACTTAGTACATAGTTTTCTTTCAGTGATCATCTGATATCAGTAACAGCACTGTGATTTGCAATACAAACCTGTACATGTTCATAACAAATCCTGGTGAACAATAACCACACTGGCTGCCATTATGTTCTGCTAATCTCTCCTGGATGGGATTGAATCCATCAAAACGACTAAAAAAAAAAAGAGGGAAGGGCAATTTTCAATGTTAGGAGTGATTAATCCAGGGCTCCTTTCGTTTTGCCGCACCACAATCTTTTGACAGCATAGGGGAACTTGTACCTTATACAAACACACACCTATATACCAATAAGATACAAAACCAAAATCAGTAGTAAGCCAGCTCACTTAGCCTCACTCACTCAAGTTTTTAAGAGTTTGCTTGTTTTCAGTCTCAGTTTTCATTGAATCCTTGTTATTTTTTATTTTCTCTGATTGGCCCTTGAAATAAGTACTTTGGTTTCAGTTTTACGACCTTCAACTAAAATAGGTTCTTAAAAAAGAGCATTTGCAACAATTAACATCAAGTTTCAAAAAGTGTTGGACTTAGAGCTAAAATTCATGTACAAACAGTTTTACAGCAGTGGTGAAATTTTAAAATAATCATCCATCTACCAAATGTAAAAGTAAAAAACTATAGTACTAATGATGGAGGAAGAAACAGGTTCAAACACTGGACTTGTAATCAAGCTCAGTAGCTAAAGGCATTAGATTCTTGTTCCTCTCTGGCCACCAGCTTGAGCTTAGTCCAAAGTTCAAATCTCCAACAGCACTTCATATATAACACAACCTTTAAGTTTGCATCATGTACATGTGTTTCATCTGTGTGTCAAACTTAGGCTCTCTGTTTACAATTGTGCAACAGATAAAGTACAACTTAAACAGTGTAGTTGAGTAACTAAGCTCACTACTTTTTTTTGTAACTCACTTTCCAATTCCTTCAATTGTTGTAACTTTGCCATCATTTACACCACATAAAGGAAATAGACACTGAAAAGAAAAAAACAACAACAAAGAAGCCTTGTGATCATGTAACCAAAATTAATTTGATTGACACATCTATTCACACATATATTAAGAATGTTGTGTTCAACTAACAAAGCCAGACAGTGTGATAAACGTGCAATGTAAACCTATTGTAAAGAAGCAAGAAAATAATAACAGAACCTTTTATCTACTCGCCAAATTTTTTACTTGCTTATATACATGAGGTCAGTATAATTTGTCCTAAGGAAGAACCATAAAGGCATGTGGGATGTGTAGCACATTCTCAATTTAAAATGGCAAAAAGAAATTCATAGATCTGAAGTCATCTTACAGAGTTGACAGCTACAGTGACATCTTTTCCAACACTCAGATCATGCCTTGTGACTGACACCACACAACAACCACAGCCAGCTTCACGACACATCACCTTTGTTCCTTTATACAACAAAATGATAAAACAAACAAACTAATTGTGTCTGCTCACTTGACAGAGAGAATACAAAACATAAATCACATAATCACATGTAATTGCACTGTGTCATGGTGGGAGAGGGACTGGTACTTTTTGCAAAAACATACACTCAGTGACTGGTATTCTCTGAAATCAATGCACATCACTTTCTACTGCTTTCCCTGGCATAAAAACCTACTTGGGATGTCTGTAGAATAATACACAAAAAGACTGTAATTGACCTACAGCTCATATTTTGCAAACTTTTTTTCAATTCTCCAACATCACACATGGGTTATGCTACTGATAAACTAATAGAAAGTTCAATCTATTGCTGAAAGACTAATAACTCCAGTTTAAGACACCATTCCAAGTTACAGACCAGAACACTTGAGATCTCATTCTTTAATTACAGCATGTACACTTAATTGCAACACACCTTGTAATCCAGGCTGATTTCTGATCCACTCATTCAAACTCATTCCTGGGTCAGGATTGGTAACTTTATGCTGTGTTCCATTTAGTGTGAAACTGACCTCATTGACAGGAGTAGGAACGGACCAAAACTCCACATCCTTGTTGCAGCTTTTACATTTGCCATTGTAAATACCACTACACAGTACTCCATTTTCTGGGACAAGCCTACACACAGGTAAAATAACCAGAAAATGTTTATGAAATTTACTGTGGTAATTAACAACTATTCACCCAAGTATATGTGGCTATATATAGTGCTGGATATTTACTGGGCTGCAAAGTGGCGAGGTAAATATCCACTGCTAGCCACCAACACTGACAGAGGTAAATAGTTGTTTTAGTTTATACTCAAACAGTGAGACAAAAGAAACACAAAAAGATGATTTCAATACATTTATTCCTGCAGGGATTACAATACTTTCAGGCACAAATCTGCGCTCATTGCTCAGAAGTGAATAGGAAAGGGCAATTGGCCAATCAGACTGCACCTAAAATGCTATCCAATTTTTCAGCATATATCAGTACCATATATCCATATCAGCTACCCACAAACTGCCTGGTCTTCCATCCTGCATATAGGGGCTACCAATGGTGGGTCTGTCCCGCAGGTACTAATAAAATTCATATTTCACTTGCACGACTCTTTTTGAATACGTATTGAACGACATCTGCCGCAACAAGTGTTACAGAGAACCTGCTTCACAGGCTGATAGCATCTGAGGTTCAATAAGTTACAGGATTTGAACCAGTAACTTATCCAGTACAGATTTGAACCACCAATCAAATCACATAGAGAAGATAGACAACCGTATTGGCAGAATATCACAAGTCGACGGGTTGTGTTTACAGCAAACTTAAGTCATTTTGCGTGTCATGAACTCAGCTGTTTCCTGCATGTCAAAAACACTGGCACAATCTCCTACTATTTAAAAAAAATATTTTTTTTCCAATTTATTCTTGGGGTGAAAAAACGTAACCCTAACCTTTAAATGCATCAATAAAACTATGTTACAACACGGTTACGGGTGCTTGTGGCCGTGCAATTATGTAATCGATCGCGTCTAAACATACCCTTTCCTAGTCATGTATTCTAGACCAAAATGAGAGCATTAACGTTTTAATTAGCTGTCCTAGACATCTCACAAAACTGCTAGAAGCTAAAAAGGAAAAACATTACCAGACTTGCCATAAATTTCAAACCGAAATTCTATCTTCCATGAAATGAGAGCTCTAGAACAACGAAGTCATTAACTTTTTCATGGCTGCGATCGGACCTCGCATGCAGTCATCGTCGACTGTGTCTCCCTCACTAATTATACTAAGCATCAAAAACACTGACTTAAGTCGTTATCACCTTTTACTAGAGAAAAGCATTGTAATGATCACATGAGTATGCGACGAGCTATTTTAAAAGGGTTGAATGATTTGAACTTAAATTTATGTAATGAGCTCTTCTAGCTTCAGCTCAAGTTCTGCAGGCGGGCAATATCTGCTAAGCACTTACTTGGTATAACACGAAGGGCATTCCAAATGGGGCTGAAAGGAAGAGCTCATTTCTTCGACCGAAGGCATCGCGATCACTCGAAATACAAGCGTTTTATTTTGTTGAGGCAAGTTATTTGCGTCACGTGACCACTAAGTAAGGGGGTCCTACTTTTCCCCTCCCCCGACCAAATTGTCCGATCGCCAACAGCAATCGTTCACTAGTTTACTGTAATGTCATGGCAATCGCTTGAAAACTGTGGAAACAGTTTGGTAATTCAAACGGTAAAATTACCTCTTTTCAAAGACAAGAATTTATTTAGTCTATGATACGCTGACCACTTCTTGACTCCTCTTCAAAGAAAATTAAGTTTTGTTTTGTATGTTTGTGGCACGCATGGACGAGAGGCCGTGATGAAATCATTTTGAATGAAGCATCATGGCAACAAATGAGAAAATAATATCTTGGATTATGCCGAAAAGTTTAGGTTGATCATTGGAAAATGTCTTTAAATGGAGCAAAGCTTAATCATAAGTGAAAGGTAACCACATAATTGGAGCAGGAGAACGCCGTTTAGACCTAGTAGGATCAAGGAGCACTTATTTTTAAAGCGAAAAAAAACGATTTTTAAAATGGTAATCTGGGCAGAAAGTAAATGTAGCTTGCTGATCTTTCAACCTTCGCTAAAAGAACAATCACAAGGCAAAAACAAGATGCTTTATGCAAATACTTCGCGCAATTTTTACCACAGTCAGTAACACTGTTCTCCGTGCAGTCAGCAACCACTGTTCTCCATGCTTTGGTGCTGACAAGGAGAATTTTGCTACAATCAAGAGCTCTTCAAGTTGTAGATCATTTCGTTTATTTTCTTGGCTTTATGTTAAATTCAGGGTGGTGCCGTGAGGAGATGATTAGATGATTGTAAGTCTTGGAGTTTCAAAGGGTTACATATTTGTTAGCTTGTGAACTTAAAAGGTAATTTCAGAAAACAAACTTTCTTCTTGACTCAAGAATATAGGACAAAAATCTGAGGGCATTTTAGTCATTTAAAAAGAGAGGTATAGCAGCAACTGAGATAATATCTAATATCTTCATTCAGCAGCCGCAGAGATACGTGTATTTTATAACTTATACAACTTTTTCATACTTCATGAACAATCGGTGTAGGAGTGTCCGCTTTGGTAATCACGCACAAATTCAGTAGCTCTGTTCCAGTTACAACTGGCTTTATCCCACTTCTGAGCTGATAATCTTCAATAAAATGGAAGAAGGTAAGTGTGAAATTCTATTATGCTGCTTCTCTCTGGTAACAAATAGTTTCTTTTACTAGCTATGTTGTAACCTGGTGGCCCAAGTATTTTGCTGAATTGTTGAACAGTGGCGAGCAATGGTTAATACGGTCATCAATGGTTAAGCGATTTACATTAAGAGACGCAAAATGTCCGCATACACAAACGATCGCTCATTACTTCAAATTCTGCCTCCGCAACACGTTTTTGCTCTTCTTTCACATTTGCAAATGAGGTAAACTTTCTCTCTGCTTTGGACTGGGTGACAAGTTTTTTTAGCAAAGAAAGCTTCATCTGAATGTTGTCGGCCGTTTGAGGCCGGTCTAGGAAAGTAAACCTCTTCACACGAGAAGAGGTGTGGTAGGGGAGGGGGGTGGGGAGGGAAAGTTCTTAATTTATAAGTTTAAAAAAGACTCCATGAGAGTTTACAGCAAGAGCTGTGGACGCAAAAAATTATGCGCCCACGTCTTATACACAACAGCACTCCAAGGTCTCATTCGCTAGCTGCATGCTTCCAATAGCCTTCTGAAATATTTCATGGCCCACTCATTTTAAACCCAAAAGCCCGTTTTAACACAAACTTTACTTTTTAATTTACGAGGGAGATACAGAAAGAAATAATTGCCTGATGATTGCCGGTATTTATTTCAAACCTTGAAGGGTATGATTCTATGAACTGTTCTTTTTCTGTCTCTTTTTCTGTGTAAGATGTCGCCATGGCCGGATATTTCAGACGATAAAAAAGTCACAGTTTTATTCAAAACCCCATTTGTTAAATGATGTTTTGTCAATAAGTGATCCTACCAAGCAAGCTCCCGGATCGGCCGTGATAGATCTTCTTTTGTTGTTTATGGTAACGCATTAAAAAGCTTCACTAGCTTTCTTTTACAACTTTTTCTCCTTGCCTCAATTGTTACATCCATTAGTTCGGTGCAAACTTACAGGAAATTAAGGATTTTACAAGCGGATGTCTTCCAGGCGTTGACTCACAAATAGGAATTTCAAACAGGATCCAACCTTAATCTTAGACATCACCACAAATAAGACGGCGTCTTTTTGCAGTTCACTGTATTTAAAGATCTGTTTCCATGTATTGTTCGACGCCTTACTTACTTTGATCTCCTGAAACCGTGTCTTTATGAAGAATTAGGCCAAAAGAGAGTTCTTTCCCCTATTAATGATTTGTCTTCGCTAACTAGTTATCAATAGAAACCACTGAAGCTCAGATGGAAGCTGCAATCGTTGTGTACCTCATGGTTGGGCTCAGGAGTCATGCAGAGCAGACAAGATGATATAATATTAAAAAAGTCTGTTCTCTACAACTGACTGGCTGAAGAAGAAAAGCCTTAAAAAAATAATGATAACATTCATTAAACCACCACAACTAGCGGCGGCATTTTCGGGAATTTGCAACTTAATTGTGGTATTTCATGCGGTCAAGTCGGTACGTGTCTTCATAAAGAAAACGTGTAACCTCGACAATTGTCGAAATTGCCTCACTGAATAGGTATCCTTGCTTTCATTCACGCTACTGACGGTTTCCGTCGGTTCATGATGAACGAAAAAAAGAACGTGCCCCACCCTACCCCTGGCAGATGGTCGAACAGCCAGATTTTAAGATTTTTGATTAGTAGTCACATGAATATCCGCCTTACTTCGGTCAAAAGCCGATCTAAAATTTCGTTCTTAGATGTTCTGTCTGTTCTTTGCTATCATTTATATTTGACATAACAAGTTTTAACCCATAGCTTGTCACGAATTGACAGAGCCAAAACAAATCATATTTAGAACTGCGGAAAAGTAACCAAAAACTGCTATGACTGACAGGTGAGGATCAAGAGATTAGCTCTAAATTCACGGTATAATTCTATTGAAAGAAGGACAATTTAACCAACTGAAACAAACAGGGAAGTCTTGAAATTCATATCACGATTGCAACTGAAGGGAAGATTGTACTATTAAAAGTGTTTAACATCCTAGACAAAGTAATATATAAATATGCACACAAGCTATACCTTGGAAAAAATTTGAAGACCTTCAAAATTCGTATAAGAGTAAACACCAATCGTAATTTGTCAAAGATGAACTTCTTAGTAAATTATAGAGGGAAAAACAGCTTGAGGTCCTCTGGGCATCAGGTTTCTGATAATGAGAAGTTAAAATCAGATTTGACCATTTCATCGAGTGCAAAATTGACACCTAGTACGTCGATGTCACAATCATTAGCTCGTCTAATGTTCCTTCCCCGCTTGCTGCCTTTCAGACAACCCTTTTTCTTGTTTCGTTCACCCCTCCCAAATTACGTGAAGATCGTTCCGCTTTTAGTGGAATTTACGTTGGGACTGCGTGATAACAAAAAACAAAGTTTATTCAAATTACACTTTTCACAGAAACCAATGAGTGCGTCATGCTCCGGAAGTTCGACAGCGGAGGACCGCTGCGCACGTTAGTTGAAACCGCATGCCTGAGGGATGGCGCACCTTTTCCATCCTAGAATAGTTAACGACATTGGACATATTGCGGCCCCTTTATATTTAAGTATAGAAAACCCTAGTTCATCAGTTTAGGCTGCTTATTTTTTACTATTTGGTGTTTGCGAGTTTGAAATGTCATGAATTCGCGACTCTTGAATGTTTTCATTAAGAAGTTTATAAACATCTAAGGACAATAATTTACACGAAGTCTAACCCAAACTGCGGTTTAACGCAAGCAGTGTGCTTTACGCATTCTTTATAAGGGGGTTGTTTTCATCAAATTAATGTCCTTCCACTGCGAGCTTTCGGCGCGGCCCGACGTTGTTCACTAAAACATATGTTCAGATAAAAGATTAGGCTAAATTTAAGATAGTGTAGAACGCAGTTTTGTTAAACAACGGCTAAACTTCGTTTGAATAATCGATCCATATTGTCTTGATTTGTATTTCCGGTGGTTACTTGCACTGATTGCACGTCACGTCATGTCTCGACTTAAGTGTCATTTCCATTAAAGGTATTTTCTGATCTATTCTCGTTCTCTATTTTGTCCAAACAGATCTAAAACATCACGAAAAAAATCATTTAAGCCATCAAGCCCTTGGTATCACCATGGCTGAAAATTAAAACTCTTTCAAGTGGTAAAGTTACCAAAGGCTCAAAAGGCCTTGAACAATTGCACACTCCTTCTGAAGTCAAAGATAAGGCTCAGTTTTAAGGTTTGTAGAGCCATTTTTCTTACTCTGGTATGCCGGAAATTGTTTGCTTAAAGAGTAGCTTCTTTAGACTTTGTTTTTTCAGAAGTCTGAAGCACTTTTAAGTGGTAAAATTTATAAAAAAAAAAACTAAACAATTGGAAAAACCCGCCCGAATAAATCCTCCTGTTTTTTTTTTAGAAGTTTCTTTGTAGTTTTAAATACCTCTTCCAAACTAACATTCACTAGTCACGCACACTAAACTATCAAAGAAAGTGAAGAAATACAAGTGTGAAAAAAGTTCCTGTGAAGGGCTCACTGAAAGAGAAAGTCATCTGTGTAAGGATCATCGGTGAAGACGGAGCTTATTTGATTATCACTATCAAAATCTTCAGACGAAACTGAAAAAAAGCCACGCCGAATGTATCTACGCTTTTTTTGTTAAATATAAACGTTGAATTAAAGGAAATGGAATTATTTGAATTATAGGCGCGGACGCAAAATTACCCCCACGCAAATAACTTCTTTGTTCTGGGGTTACCGATTAACATTTCGTGAAAAAGTATTCTTCAGGCAAAGGTCAACAACTGTGCATGGCTATTTTAGGAAAACGTATGCTTTTTCTTCTGTGTATGAGAATATTGCTTCAAGGGACACTCTTAACTAAGTATTGTTCGTGGAATCATTTCATGACGCCAACGTGAAGGAGGTCAAGTGAAATGAAGAGACCGGACGAATCTACAATAATCTCGGCCATCACATGTAGGAGGAATAACAAATTCCTCGTCACGGTTTTGTGACTACGCTTTAACGCTTGGTGGCATGGTTTTCTACTTCTCCTGTTTGGAAACTGAATCCCACCTTTCAACTTTACGTAGAAAAAATCATTGAAGATTGGATTTCCGCTTTGCTGCAAGATGCTTGAAAGAAACCATATTTGACCTTCATTACCGCTTGTGACGTTTAAGGTGGGTCTGAAACAAATATTATCTGTCAGGGGATGGGTCAGTATGGGCGCTTATATTATTCGTAAATAAATTATTGTACGGGAGTTTTACTTCAACCTTAAAAACAGTATGTTGCGTTCCTTTTTATATTTTATAAAGGAATCTGTGCAAAATGTATTTCCGCGGGGTAAATCGTGCAACTCTTTAAATCTTTGATCTGAAATGTAAACAGTGTGAAATAATTAAGGAAGTGTAAAGTGTCTGAGTCCCTCTCCCTAAGGAAAAATTGGGTCCTTTTTACGGAAATGACATAACGTCACAGGATTAATTAGTATTTCAGCATCAAACTAAGTGGTACCATTAAGTGTTGAAGCACGCTCCCTATGGTTCAAGACCTGTCGGATGTTGTAGGGGCAATACTTTTATTGTAGGGTTTTAAGATTTTGGATCGAAAGAGTTTTTTGGAGATAAAAATGCCACTCGCACCTATGGAGAGTTGTGGACACCGATTAACGATCATTTGTTTCTGTTTCTTCTTGCTTGTCACTGGATCTGTGGCTGAGATATTGCCGTCAATTCTATGGAATTCTGAAAATCCATTGTAAGTATCTTAAATGGTATTCTACCATCAACATTTATTTTCCGTGAAAACAGAAATCGAAGCTAAGTTCTTGATTCAAAGCTAACAATTCATGCACAAGACCGTTGACAGCTCATTATCATTTCGTTTCATAATGACGGTTTTACATGTCATCGTGCCGAATTTAAACTAAGGAACATAAAAAGCGTTATAAAAAGACAAGCAATAGCTATAAGTCAGAAAAGGGAAGTTCCCTCGCGGCTCTTACTGTGGCAGACCTTTTAGACAACCCGATTTAAAGTTGTGTTTAGGGGGCAAACACAACGTTGCGGTTCACCTAGCAACGTTTTAAATTTTGGTCATTAAAAATTTTTTTGTCCTGACTTGAAACAAGATCCTCAGTACTGTTTTCAAATAATCACCTCTAGGCTTAATCATTTTATCTGAAAATCGTTTCAAAATGCTCTCTTAGATTTTCGGGTTAGGAAACATTGCACCTTACTTAAAATTCGTAGACATTTGATTACGCAAGTCCTGATAACAAATAGACCGTAAAACAAAGGAAACAAAGGTATGAAAGAAAATCCAAATGTTTACTTGCTCAGTGCCAAACATCAGCGGTAAAGCCATTCTAAATCAAACATATCTGATCCAATTTTAATTGCTTTCTATTCCAGTTTTAATAACCTACATGAAAGGACCAGAAATGTCATGGAATTTGACCAGCTCTCAATTATTTGTCCCACCCTGGTGGACTACCCCATCAAAAGAACAACTACTTATTTGAAAGACTTGTTGTATGAAAATGTATATATGGTGGACAAGAAGGGTTATGACAACTGTAATGCAACAGGAGGACTCAGTGTTTTATCCTGTAATGATCCTGTGGGACACATTTATTACAGGGTTGTATTTCAACCTCATACCGTTAATCCAAATGATCCAAAGTTTGAGAAAGGAAAAGAATACTACTTTATTAGTAAGTGCTAATGTTTCATAATAGATCTAATAATTTTTTTTCTAAATTCTGATTAACTGCAATCTAATTTCTTCATTCCATGCATATGTTTATGTGCATTTACTTTTTAATCCTGCATTTTTATGTATTTATGAATTTATTTAAAAATTTTTGTCGGTGTGTGTGAAGAGGTGTTTCACTGAACTCTACAGCAGCTGCTTCTTAACTTTACATGTATTGAGCTTTCTTGAATGTGGGCTACAAATTAAAAATATTTCTCTAAAAATTTCTTTTGCAAGGGTTTTGTGGTTTCTGAGAAATGACCTGTCTAAGCTGCTTTTATTGCTGCTTGGATAACTCATTTTTCCAGTAATTACATATATTTGATTAGAGAGAAGGAAAGTCAACATCGTCTAACTGTAATTATTGAAAGATTTGTTTGGGGGAACAAAAGAAAAGCAGAGAAGCTGCTACATAACTTATAGTTTGATGGTCTCAGAAC